AGCAATAAAATAGATCGTCGGGCTCAGTGGAAATGACGAGGAAGGGGAAATGGAACTCATTATTTTCAAGCAAGCTTAAGAACAGGCTGGCAAAGAATACTTCTAAATATTACACTTGCTAAAATAACAAATTGTCATGTCACACGAACGTACTGGAACTAAAATCGTTTCTTGTTCAGTGTTCTATTAACTTGCACACTCGCAGACATCTCTGCCAAACAATTATCTCAAAACATAATGCGAAATTATACTCAGAATCACACGAAGTTCAACGTGCCTACTTGTAAGTCGCTGTATCTTTGTCATCAAGAACTAAGCAGCTCCAAGGCGCTCAGTCCTTCTCGAGAAGCAGTCAGCCGCTCAGCCTCTGAAAAATTTTCCAACATTTTATCGAAACGGAAGGTTCATTACCGTGTGCACAAGGGCCCGCCACTGGTCTCTCTTCTGAGCTAGATGAATCAAATGCATACTTAATTCCATTTATCTAAGATCCAGATTAGTATTATCCTCCCACCTACAATTTGTTTTTATAGTGTTCTCTTTCCTTCAGGTGTTCTGCCAAACATATGTATACTCTCCTTTTCCCTCCCATGCCTGATATATGCCCTGTCCTCCTTGACTTGATCATTCTAATTATATTTTGCGAAGAGAACAAGTTATGAAGTTCCTCATTAAGAAATTTTCTCAAGCCTCCTATTATTTTGTTCCTCTTAGGTCCAAATATCCTCCTCGGCTCTCTGTTCTCAATCAGGCTCAACCTAAGTTATTCCCTTAAGGTCAGAGACAAAGTTCAACACCCATACATAACTGCAGCTCATGCCATATGACAGATTGATTCCCCATATTTGGAATTCTACAGTATGTCTGAAAAAAGATACATACATACATAACCTCTCGGTAGTTGACCCTACCTTCGTGTTTATGTGATCTGCTGTCGCTCTGATAACGTTGCTTATTCATTATATCAGCGGTGACGTCCCTCCGTGGAGGCGGGTTAGAATACCTCCACCGTAGCCCTGTGGGTCGCATAAGGCGACGAAAAGGGAACCTGGTGCCTGGGGCCATACCTGGGCCACCTTGTCACTGGGGGACATAAACACAGGGACCTGGTTCTCCAGCTTGGGGTTCGAATGCAAGGCTGACGACCTTGTTCAGTTAAAAAAATGCGAAATCTAAAGAAGTGAAAACCTGATTGCGTAATTCGGCACCCTTCTAAATGAGGCCATAGGTAAAAAAAGGCTACCCTACCCAGTGATGATGATCTTTAGATATTATTGAACGATTCCGTCAATATCTAAATATACAGCGTTGATTTCTGGGATGATTCGTGAATTAGGAAGGATTTGGAAGGAGGTTAACGTTGCCTAATCGTGCTACTGTTCCGGTATTTGGCCGGAGAGGCTGAGAAAGATGATGAAAAAACTCAGTTACAGTAGCCCATGTCCCTTCAGAGACTTGATATGTACACCAACCGGTACGCCAACTCGCTCCGCCATTTATGTGTGTGTGTGTGTGTGTATATAT